ACGAGGTTTATATTGCTTTGTCACTTTTTAACAGTGCACTGAATTTGGGAAGGGAGACCTCTGAGGAGTGATTTTGTTTTGGTTTCAAGTCCAGCTTCATTCTCGTTCATAGTAGTTCTATAGAATTTGCAGTGTAAGAATGAAGTGAAGGTAGCACATCATTTTTTAGCAAGCACACGTACAGTTGGACATGGATAACTAAAAACACGTCAGGGATTGAAAGATGTCTTCAATACGTCCTTAATTCGGGTGAACTGATAACGAAAAATTAAAAAGTTTTCTGTCAGGGAATGGCATTGTATGAGCTATTCGTGATTTAAGGGTATCCGTATTAGTGTTATCTGCCCAAGAGCAAGTTGTCAATACAAGAGTCAACTCACACATTAAGACATTTTTGCAAATTCAATTATATAAACTTTTTTTCATTTTGTTTATTTTCCTCTTCATGTTCTGCACCTGCACTTCTATCTTCCACTTCGTCCTCGTCCCACCATCCTTCCTCCTTTCTCCCCTTGCATTACATGGTCTAAATTGTGTCAATTGAGATGTAAAGATGTAAGACGTTTAGTTTCTAGATGACATGGGAAGAAAGGGGGGGGGGGGGGTATTGACTATCTTTCTGAGGACTATATTTTACTTTCTGTTACAGTAATGTTAAGACTGCAGATTTATTCTATATTTATACATTCTTTTTTTCAGGGTATCACATCGGTTCCTGGTGCTCCCTTTTCAAAGTGATTGGCTTTTTGTCAGTCTTTTGTCATCAGAAAGGACCTTTTATGATCCCAGAGCCTTATCAATAAAACGTAGTGCTGTTTTGAGTAACAAGAAGTTTAGGAAGGCCGCTACTGGCTTCAGACATGCATCATCCTCTCATTCTCTTGTAGACCTCAGCCGCATAAGAATGGCTGACAAGAAGCACCGTCAGGACACAGGGCGGTATGGCTCTGGCAGGAAAGGTCAAGGTCGGGCTCCTCTTGCATCGAGTTCGAAAAACTTGTTTCGTTTAGATAGTTTTCATATTGCTAGTAGGGTTCAGTCAGTCGTCGGGGAGTCCAAGAGGAATGGAGTTGATGCAGCAGCGGATTTGCCTGAGGAGGGAGAACTGTGTGAGTCTTCAACGAGGCTACAGAAAGCCAAGTCTAAGCCAAAGTCTGAAGTACATCGACCAGTATACTCACCACAACGCAATGACAAAGAAAAACAAGTAAATTCACACTTTTTTTTCCAGGAACAATCAAGACCAAAGAAATATGAAAGTTGGTCCAAGAAGGGAAATAGAAAAAGGGTAGATAACAAAGGGCGAAGAGGACAGTCATCAAAAAGTCCAAGCCTTTCTTCAGTGCAGGACGATTCTCCTGGAGGGAATGTTAGCAGTGCTGTTGGAGTAAAAGGAAAAGATCCAGATAAAACTAAGGCTAAACGATCTAGAAGGCATAAAAAACACAGCCAAGTGATGCACGAAGGGCTTTCAGTGAAAAGTGGACATCCAAGCTCTGCAGACAGTGTGGTTGATGAAGAGAAAGTGATGATTATCAGCATGAGAGAGAGGTCTGTTCCTTCTGGTTATAATTTAATGACTTCTGAGGGTGGGAATCCTGTTGACTTTGCAGAGGTGGAGGAGGGGGAGATAGTGGAAGAGTCTGATGAAATCAGAGGAACTTGTGATGGTTTTGTAGAACAGAAAAGAAATCATGGTAATCGTCGTAGACGATCAGGAAAGAGACGTAGACGAAAAAGGTCTGAAAGCCAAGAGGATGCAGCAACAAACGATGAGAAACAAAGACGTGAGAAAAGGCATGAATTCAGCAGGAAGACAAAAAGACAAAGAGAGACTGAAAGACGAGATGAGTGTAGAAAGGAAGAGAATGATATATCGGTGGGTTCTGTTTCACATCTTATGTCTCAGGCTAGGGCTCCAGATGTTGTAAGGAGGTTCAATAAAGTCAGGATGGAAGCTGGAAGAAAAAATGCTGATAACTACGAAGTAGTGTGTGTGTCCAGCTCTGATGAAGCAAGTTCTGACAGAAATGTTCATCCCAAAGCTGCTGATTCTGCGACTGAAACTCAGCCTGAAATATACAGGGAAGATGAAGTCACTGGCACAGACTGTAGTAACAAAAATCTGGAAGGGAAAGGTCAAAGCTTCGAGTATCTTGAGAACTGGACTTCTCACTGGGGAGCAGACATAAGCAGTATTCCTCTCCCTCCTGAGGCTGTAAAGAATACATTGGAGAAGTCGATACAGGTCGCCTCTGGTGGTAGAAATCATCAAACAAAAGAGACTGATGACTCAGAACAAGCCAAATTCAGTATTAGCAAATCTCCCTCAGAAGAGAGGTCCTTGGGCAGCAATAGTGCAGCAAAAGAGGCAGAGGCCTGTGGTAGCAGTTGCAAAACTTCACAATCTGACTTGTGGAAATCAGATTTATCCTCTGATGCCCGTCCTCTGTGGCTGGAAGCTCTCACTTCTGAAGCTCAGGCATACGCCACCCGTCAGCAAACTTTCTCCTTCAGTATACAGCAACAGCCACAGCACAGAGCCATCAATAATCCTTCTCAAAATGTTCCCACTGATCGGTTTCAGGGATGGACTGACCAGGATCAGCACAACTCTCTGCCTGCACAGTCACTGGACCAACGCAGAACTTTGTCTAATTCAAATTCCCAAGGTGCACCCAAAGCCTTTCAATCTTTGTCTCCTCAAACTCAAAACCAGAGTATTATGAATCAAGAAAGCCTGCCTAAGCGAGACTTTGCTTACCATCAAAACATTCCAAACTCTTCCTCACAGCTATTGTCTCCAGTTTCTGGATTGAGTTCTCACTCTCTAAAACAAAACAGTGAGGTGTCATCACTCAGACCTATGACCCCTGGTAATTCAAGTGGAGCAACTGGCAGAGACTTTGATCGACGGCCTTTTTCAGCCCCTCAGTCTCCTCATTGCCCGCCTGGTAATCAGCATGCTAGTCCCCTCTCTACGTCGTCATCTGGCCATAGACAGTGCCAGTCTGATGCTGTCTCCTGGCAACAAAAGCCACAAGGAGCAGGGGAAGATGTCGCGCAGAAGAAATCTATGCAGTTCCCTTCCTGCTCGGGTGAGTTACAGAAATTAGACAATGAAAGAAAAGTAAACAACATGGGGTGGAAGTGGATTTGCTTTGGTGTTAGAAATAGAGGGTCAATGAAGTACAAAATGTCGCAGTACAGCAAGACATTAAGCAGGAACAGCAAGCTTGTACTTATAGGACAGAAGAAGTTTTGGTTATATTTAATTTTTATGAATGGTTGTGTTTACAATATTATGTAATGATAATAATAAATAGGTGTGTTTGTGTCTGTGTGATTAGTACTTGAATGTATTGTGGTCATGGTGGTGTACAGATAGATTATATTTGATCAGTTCAGGTCAATTTTATCATTTTTATCTAGTTCAGGATATTTTATCAGTTCAGGTCAATTTTATCATTTTTATCTAGTTCAGGTCAAGGCAAAATTTCTCTCAGATTTGACACTGCTAGGGAAAAGCAACACTTAACCCCGTCAGTCAGACTGTATGGCAATGGGTCGCTTTTAGTGACAAGCGGGCTTACCCAGATTTTGGGGGTTTCCAGAATTCTTAACCTACACCAAAAGTGGGCATTGCCCTACCTATAGGAGAAGTTTAGTTTCATTGATGTGTATATGTGCTTGGTTATAGGAAAAACTCTCCTTGCCATTTAAAGAAACTTTAAAAACTTTAATGTTTTAAAAAAATTATTAAATAGGCTGTTGTATAAATTGTTAACAAACCCAATGTGATGCAGAGGTATCATTTCTATTATTCTTTATGTACAAATACTATTAACAAGAAAACCTGGATCCTCTTTATGCACTTCTGGGATGGGTTCCACATCTCACATCCATACAACAAGACTGACTTCACATTTGAGTTGAAAATTCTTAGCTTTGTTCGTAATGAGATATCCCTGGTCCTCCAAATCCTGTTTAAAGAAATAAATGCAGTCTGTGCCTTTCCAATACGAGACTTTATTTCAGCGCCTGTTCCTCCCTCTCTGTCAATTATACTCTCAAGACAGCAGAAGGATTCGATGTCTTCTAGTGCATTTCCTTGTACTGTGACCTGCTCCTTTCGTAGTGCATCTATCCTTAGAACTTTCCACTTTCCGGGGTGGATTCTCAATCCAACAGACTCTGATAGGCTGTTTAAAATTGTTGTCTTTGCTTGCATCTGTTCCTGAGCGTGTGACAGAAGCGCCAAGTCATCTGCAAAGTCCAGATCGTCCTACTGTGTCCATGGGGTCCACTGTATACCGTTTCTGTGTCTTTTGGTGGTTTCCTTCATCAGCAAGTCGATTGCCAAGATAAAGAGGAAAGGTGATAGTAAACATCCCTGTCTCACACCGGTCTTGATGTCAAAGCTGTCAGTGAGCTGGCCATCATGTTTAACCGTGCAACTTGTCCCTCCGTACATGCTTTCGATGAGGTTAACCAACTTCTGTGGGATTCTGTGATGTCTCAGTATCTTCCACAGTGTTTCTGTCAAAGGCGTTCTCAAAGTCAAGAAAGTTGACGATCCACCGGGAGTTCCACTCCAGTTACTGTTCCACTATGATCCTCAGTGTAGCAATCTGGTCCTTTGTTGACCGATTTTTCCGAAAACCAGCCTGTTCATCCCGAAGTCTTGGATCCGTTGCAGACTTGATTCTCTCCAGAATTATTCTGTTGAAGACCTTTCCTGGTATCGAGAGAAAAATGATTCCTCGGTAGTTGCTGCAGTTCCTGAGATCCCTCTTTTTAAGTAGTTTCACAAGGTGTCCTTTCCAATCCTTTGGGAACTTGCTCTCGTTCCAGATCCTGGTAAACAATGGCATGGGAGAAGGAGGTCTGCCACCACATTGGCATCTGTTTTTAAGGCCTCAGGTGGAATCTGATCAGGACCGTTGTTCAACTTCTTAATGGCATCCATAATCTCTTGTTTCGATGGGGCATGCACAGCAGATTGGTAGCTTATCTCTTGCTGGCAGGATGTTTGGCGGGTTACTTGGTGGTGGTCTGTTCAGGAGACTGTTGAAATCCAAAAATGGCTTTTCCCTCTTGGTCCTTTTCTGTTACTTCTGGTTTCCCATATTTTCCAGAAAGAGTCTTTGTAGTCTGGTAAAGGATTCGCATGCTCCCTCCTGCTGCTGCCTCCTCTGCAAGCCTGTTCATGAATTCCTCCTTTTCTTTTCTCAGTGATCTCTTTACATCTTTAGCTGTTGTCCTGTACTGCTCCAATGCGTCCGCTTTGACCCCCTTGTTCTACTTGCATTTGTCTCTGCTTTCAATTGTCTTCTAATGCTAATCAAAGCCAATGACCGTTGGCTAATCCATTCCTTGTGCTCCAATTTCTTCTCACCGAGTATTTCTTGACATGTTGAAGTAAAGACTTCCTTGACCCTGGTCACTTTTGCATGAAAGAACACGCCTGAGCACGCACTCAGTCTTGATAGCGCGCAAGACGCAAGATCAACTCTCATTCAGTGACAATAACATGAAAAGAAAGGAAAAAGAAGACAGCTCGGTAAAGGTAGATGAAAAGCAAAGCAAACTATTGTAGAGACTTGGCAGAACGTCGGGTTGTGAACTAGGCACAGGCGAATTAAAGTTTATTTGCAAACGCATTAATATTGTACGCCAGTCCACATTAATAATAAAACCACATTAGTATAACTGGACTACTTTTGCGCGCGTGTGTCGTGTAACTATAGTGCGGTCAAAAATTTGTGGCGCAACTTTTCCTCAAATGTGAGGTGTGCTGACAAAAGGAGTTACTTCTTTAGGATTTTTGCCGTATGGAAATTGATACATCAACTTAAAAGTGGAGTTTGTTCAATTTGTAAGTATGGAATAATAAAAGACTCGGTAGACATGAGCAAAATGGCATCAACTGAAAATCTATCATTGTGACCCCAATGTTGATTTTCGGCCCGATATCTCCATTCTTGGATATCGAGAAGCAACTCATTTTGTCAGCACGCCTCACAAATATGTCTTTAACGGGAGAATCAATGTCACCCATTTAGTATACTTTTTTAAAAAGTGAACATATGAATGAAAAATACAGTTTACTATATAAATGTCACAAGGGAAAGTTTAACTCGATTTTAAAAATACCAGTACATGTATTCATCATTTGTTTGACTGAATTTGCTTTATCAAGAGCTTCATTGCATTCCTACACCTATAGGCTGAAATACTCTGGAATTTTTTTTCCTATGGCTCATTCTGATTTAATTTAATGCCAAACTCATATATCTGAGGGGGGGGGGGGGGGTGGTATTAATTGGGATTCGGGAGGAGAGAGAGGGTGGGGTGGTTATGGGAGGTTCCCATGACACCCACATCTTTTCATACTTCTTTTTGAAAGTTCTATAGGCCCTATACGCTTTGATTCGGTCAATAAGAAATAAACCACCTCGTAGATAAAGTGCTGATGAAGAAATAAAGGTTGTTTTTTTTCTTCTTTTTTTCAAAGCCCATATCTCTATCTCTATCTATTTAATAATACATTTATGTGTAGATCTAGTTGTAGAAAGAACGCTATTTAGTAATTCAGATATAGATTTTCTAGTGCGCCTCGGCGCCCATGTAAAAAATAAAATAAACAAGAACCAAGCCTCGCCTATCGCGTATGAGAGAGAGAGAAAACATGCCTAGCCCATTGCTTTAGCATGAACTCCTTCACACAACTTGCCACAAAAAACATGGCGGACGCCGCTGTCAAATGTGGCCATCGCGCAGCAAGGCGAGAGAGGGACGTACTGTATCTAGTACTATAGTGTACATCTATGCCTACGCCATAGCTCGCCAATGACACTTTTTAGTGGCAAAACTTCATACAAAAATGTTTTTGTAATGAACACATTCTTTTTACACTAAAGGGTTTCCTACACGTACGTTCAATAAGCATGCATGCTATTGCAATAGGAAAAAAGAAATAATTAAACAACAGTAACACTAGACAGACATACCGTCCGAGATAATCAGTAGAATAGCAAGTCACTGTAACCAATGCACGCGTTGTACGCGCCGATTCAAAAGTGGGAGGGGCCTGCTCTTGGCACATGACGTAAACAGGGATTGTCAAGTCTTGTTAGTTGTCGGTCTTGGGTTTTAGGCTTGTTCTTTACTGATTGACCACTGATTGTTGCCTATTTTGTCAAGATGAAGCGATCCTGTGATATGCCCAGAACTTCCATTGGTAAGCGATCATCAAGAATATTGTGTACAGTGGTTTACTGCTCGGCAAGATCTTGAACATCTTTCTTTTTAGTGAAATAAATATGAATAGTTTAAACGTCGACTGCGGAGTTCAGTGACAGTAAGTGGTGTGTGTGAAGACGGCGAAAGTGACGATGGTTTTGATTTAATCGAGGTGTAGGTGGAGGAGTACGTGGGGGGTGATGGTGGGCCTACTAGTGTGGATGAGGGTTGGAGCCTGTCCCCGCGGTTTTATGCAAAATACATTCTGAAATGATGCAAACTGAGCCCAAAAATGTAAAATTATGCGATTCTGTTAATATTGTAACGAAAGAATGGTAAAGGAAAATAATTTTTTTAGATATGCAATTAAAAATGATCGAATTTTGCTAAATTATGTGGGGTGCATAAAACCCCGGGGAAAGACTGGTTGGAGCAAACGCCCCCCCCCCCCGAGGATATGGAACCGGATTTATTTTTGGATGCCTTGTTTCTCTCCACCCGTAGTTCAAGTGAATGAATTTAGGCTCTCAGAAGATTCCTGAAGCTCTCACAAGTGATAGTATGCCTTTGGACTTTCTTTCGTTGTGTATAGACAATGGTGAGGCATCGTGGTGAAATCAGGCGCTCTGCAAAATAATAAAAAATGAAAATGAAAATGTTGGCATTTTCCCGCCAGTTTGACCGCTTTTTTTTCGAATTTTTTTTTTGGCTCAACACGTGTGTTTTTTTTGGGGGGGGGTTTGGCCTTTTAAAAATATTTCTGTGCGGATTTTAGTGGAAAACAGTGATTAAAGGCACAAAAAATGTCAATATTCAATTTCTAAGGACTCTCATGTTCAAGCTTTGGAAATCAACAAACTTTGGCTGTCATTTTCTCGCTAATTTTACCACTGAAATGTCTGAAACCAGGCGACCCTACCTCCTTCGATCGCAAATATCTCGACTTTTATTCAAGATAGGCCTGTATTTTTCCATCAAAAGATGGTCAAATAAATGATAATTACAGATGCCCCAAAATTGCTGAACGTCTGATTCTACCGCGTCATGTTTTTTTGGGAAAGTCATGACTGACATGACAAATCTTCATGCTCATCAAGTTCGTGCTTTCAACCCAGACTCCTATTAATTATATCTAAAGAATGTAACGTTTTCAAGGATGAAGAACACAATGTGTCCATTGATGAAATGAAAGCTTTTTTTTAGGGCTCAGGGTTTACATAGAGTATATGTGTAGAAAGGCAAGTTATTTATCATGACTACTATTGGAGAAATGAAAGTTCTGACTTTATCGGATTTACCAGTGGGTGGTTGGCGGGTGCTCTGGTGTGGTTTGCTTCTTCTTTCCTTGCAAACATCTATCGTCATTATATCCCCTTCTTCTTTTTTGTGTTTGTTACTCTCTTGTAACACCTCTAATTTTCGGCATTTATATGACCTTATTGTGTTGCAAGTGCCGTAAAACTCTTACTAAAACTAAAACTAAACTCGGATTTACCCTGGGTTTCTGTAGGCATACTGTAATGGTATCTCTGTGTAAAAAGGGGGTCCACTTGCTGGACTGACTGGCACACAAAAGTGGAGTACTGGCGGTAGAGTGAAGGCAGGGCTATTGTCAGCATGTCCTTGAGTTTTATACACTGCTGACAGTTACCGTACTTTTTTTTTCCTGTCAGTGTCCCTATGATCCATTTTATATTTATATAACGTATATATATATATATATATATATATATATATATGGTTTTCTGTTATTTTGTGTCAGGGCTCAGGTTATATGACAGATAAACACCAGGAGCTCAGGGCTGGTACAGGGTTAAGGGTGGAAACTTAAAATAAGCCCAATATTGTCAGTGTCAGTATCTCTAACATTAAGTGTACACAGCAAAGTCCAATTTGAAAGAATTAAAAAGAAATGAACTTCTTTATTTCTTTACATTTGTGTTCGTAATCTAATCTTGAATTCCAGAATGAATGAAAGTGGTTTAGATTTTTACTGTCAAAACTCAAATTAACCTTGATTAAAATCTTTTGTTTTGTAGAGGGAGATCCTCTGGGTTTTAAAGTTTTGATGAGGAAAATAAAGTTGTGCTTCTGTTTTTTTAATCAAATTGTGTGGAGTGTATACTACAGTGGCGATATGTGATCTAAATACTTTACAACACTCACCTTGCATAGTCTTTCTCTTTTCTCTCAATATTTCTTTCTTTTAACAAAAAGTTTTTTTTTGTTTGTTTTTGCCAGAGGTGACACACAGCCAGCGAAATTGGCACACAGTCCGGGCAATGGATGACCGTGTGCCAGGGTCTCTCGAGTTCTCGGTCATGTCTTACAACATCCTGTCCCAGAACCTGCTGGAGTTTCATCCATACCTGTATGGACAATGTGAGAAGGAGAACCTCAAGTGGAGGAACAGGGGCCCTGCCTTGGTGCAGCAGATACTGGCTCACAATGCAGATGTAAGTTACACATGATGCTCTACTGATGGCCTTCTGCAAAAAATAATCTCCTGAACAGTAACACTAACAGACAGTCACTTCCCATTTCCCCCACTTTTGCATTGTTTTTGTTTTTTATTACCGTACACTATAACGATACTGTGTAAAACATACACCTATCTAAGACAATTTTTTTTCAAGAGTGATTGGCGGGTGCTCTGGTGTGGTTTGCTTCTTTTTCCCCCGTGAAACATCTATTGTCCTTATCTCCCCTTCTTCTTTTTTGTTTGTTTGTTACTTTCTTGTAACACCTCTAATCTTCTGGTGCTCATATGACCTTATGCAGTTTTGAGCGCCGTAAAACCTCTACTGAAACTAAACTAAAATATTTTTTTCTCTTTGAGAATGGACAGCCATCTCAGTCAATTTCAATTATATATTAGTGAACAGTTGCATGATAATACGGTTATTAACTTAAGTTTATATTCTTGTCTGTGGTGTAGTGGTTAGGGGGGGGGGGAGTTAAAAACTTACAATGTCATTTACAAGTTGGTAAAAGATTATCTCAGGCTATCTGGAGTTCTTCAAAGAATAGCTCCCAACCCATTTCTGATTTGTACGTCTTGCTTTCTCGAAATGGCTTGGGTTCGTCGAGTGATTATATGAAAGTTGCCACGATATGACTGACTGAAAAAGTTTGAGGGACCTTGGTGCGCACTTTGACCTGTGGTCCTAGGAATCCATCCAGTAACACCTACTCATACTCCTGCACTCATATTGTCAGAGTTGCACTCTAACCAGAGTAACCATGTATCTGCCACATTGGGTCAAAAACATTTTGTCTTTAATTCCGTTATTCACAACCGTGAAATTATATAGTGTAAAGTGCATAGAGCTTGCTCTCGAATAGAGACATGTGATATACAAATGCTATTTATTATTATAATTATTATTAAATAATTACGACTGGTGATACAATATGTAAAAAGAACGCTCTACATGATATTTTGAGCAGTTCTGATAAATACATATAAAAAGAAAGAAATAACGTTTGTTGTTTTCCAATTTTTTGAAAATGAAAGTTCAGGCATATATATATACAAGATTAGTCGAGTTGGACATCCACAATATGTACATGCATGCACAGATGTTTACAAACAGTAACATTAACATACCGGCAAATGCCAGTGCACACTTGTACAAGATGGATATTTATTGTGTGTTTGAATAGATAGTGACACACTCAGCTGTCATGATATGCTGCTGATTACTTTTTCACGAAAAGTCACTCTTTAAAAAAAATTCGTGTGTTTATGATTTTTGTATTGTTTGGATTAGAGTATTAGCACAAGGATTTCTCGACTCACTTTTGTTTGCGTTTCAAATTATTTGCTGCTTCCTTTCTTGTTTTTTGTTGGAGTTTTTGTTGTTAATCTTGTTGTTGTTCTTGTTGTTGTCGTTGTTGTTGTAAATTTCACCTGTAGAATGCTTCTTTGTTTGAAGAGATAAATTATTGGGTAAAAAAGGAAAGAAAAAATGAAGCTGTGATAGCATTCATGTCCACAAAGTTTCTTTCAGCAGTTTTATCAGACTTGTCATTCTTATTTCAGGTGTTGTGCCTGCAGGAGGTTCAAGAGGATCATTGGGTCTCTCTGCTCCGTGGAGCTTTCCATGCTCATGGTAGGTATTGGTTGTGTGTGGGTGTGGGTGTGTGTGTGTGTGTGTGCGTGCGCGCAGGTGTGTGGGTGTGTGTGTGTGTGTGGGGGGGTGCGGATGTGTGTATGTGTTGTGTGCGTGTGCGTGTATGTTTTGTGTGCGTGTGCGCGTGCGTGAGTGTGTGCATGCGTCTGTCCATCTGTGCGTGTGTACATGTGTGTGTGTGTATGTGTGTTATGTACATGTTGTGTTGTGTGCATGTGCGTGTGGGTGTGCTTGCGTGCATGCGTTTGTTTGTTTTGGGCGGTGCTGACAAAATCGAGTTCTTTGTGTGTCTAGTACCAACGAAACTGTCACTGGGAATTGATGAGGTCAGAGGCTCTGTGCTCCTGATGCCTTTGCATCTCTTTATCTCCCCCCCCCCCCCCCCCCCAGCCTATTGCACTGCATGTTGGTGGTTATCAAAATAAGCAAAGTGACTGTGAAGAACCTGATTTGCTTTGATATTTAACCCTATCCGTACGCCCTAGGGTCATTTTTTACCCCCGGGGTTGTATTCTTCACATTTTGAAATACTTCTAGTACGAAGATCTCTTTGAAACTATCACATTGACAGACTGCCATGTAAAGCGTACGGATAGGATTAACAAGTGAATTTCCTCTTTGGAAAGTGGTGGCACAGAGTTCCTCACATCGTATGGATATGATAGTAAAACACGACGTATGGATAGGGTTAAACTCATAAATAAAAACTTGCTCTTTTTTCATTGAATGTCAGTTTAGAACTGGATGTCATGTATCAAGGCCACCCAGTGTGTTGATGGAAGGATAGTGTGTTTGAGGTGGACACGTGTTTTGTGCATGGATAATTCTGTGTATGATGGATAGATTCTTGATGCAGGACAAAAGGTATAAATATATATATGTTTTTATGGCATCATGAACCAAATTTGCACAGGGATAAATGAAGTTTTCTTTTCTGTGATTGTTTGGTACAAATAGAACTGAGATGCGTGTAGTGTGTACACACTTCTGTCACTGTTATATTAAATGAAATAATTGCTGTTGCCCAAGAGTTCTTTCATGCTGGTGTATAATCTCCAGGTTACAGAAGCTTCTACAAAAGGAAGCCTGGCAACAAGTGTGATGGCTGTGCCGTTCTGTACAAGGCCGACAAGTTCAACCTGCTCCGCGCCGTTCCCGTGAATATGGACAGAGGTGGGATCTTGGATCGTGAGAACGTGGGGGTCATTGTCCTGCTGGAGCCACGGTCAGACGTCTACTCTGGGGCGGTGCGCAGACTTTGCGTGGCCACCACCCACTTGCTGTTCAACCCCCGGCGTGGAGACGTGAAGCTGGCACAGCTTGTTCTTTTCTTAGCGGAGATTGACAAGCAAGCTTACCTCGACCCTGACTGTTGGCCTATTGAGAAGTGTCCAGATGCCACTGGTGTGGGTGTTCCGCAGAGTGGTCAGGCCAAGATAGACCGGGACGCAGAAGATAGAGTGAGGGGGCCTGGGGCTGGGGCAAGGGTTACTGATGCTTCTGGTGTTCAATTTCCAAGTCAGGGGGCAAAGTTGAAAGCATCACTGACCGGTGATAGGACTGCTGATAAATGTGATATATTTGGGTATGAACAAATGAGGGAAAGTATCACTGGGATTTCAGGAACGGCATCTCCTAGAATGGAGGAAGATAGGGATTGCACTGCAAGCAAAACTGCGTATTGCCCTATTATCCTGTGTGGAGATTTCAACTCTGAGCCCTGGAGTGATTTTTATAAATTTGTCACGTCCGGAGAGCTTCAGTACCAGGGTCTCATTTCTCGTCTAATTTGCGGTCAAGAAGAAGGTCAGACCCTTGGGACAAATTTGATAATTCCTCGTGTTCTTATGCCGAATCACCTGAAGATCTCAGAGCATTGTCAGTTCAAACATGTTGCAGACTCTAGATGGTATCAGACGTGTCGCAGGAAAAACAAAGCGGGTGTGCCAGTGGGTAAGAGACAACCGTGGGCTAGCAACACGGGCAGACTTCATCACGCCATGAATCTGAAGTCAGCTTACAGACATTTTGCTGATTGTCCGGGCCCCGTTGTGAAAGAAGTGAGTACCTTCCACCTCCGTGCTTCTTGCACTGTGGACTACATTTTCTTCTCCTCTGGTTCTTGCAGCCGCAGTCATGATCGTTTCAAGGACTCTGAGTGTTTTCAACATTTACAGCATTCAGATTCAAGCCGCGCTACGGCAAACAGACTTGGTTATGCCGTCCCGCGTTCTGTTGACCGTGACTGCGACAACAGTGTGCAGTGTGCCATGTCAGTTCCTGACACGAGTGACAATGACGCTTTGGTCCTGTTGTCTCGCTATCGACTGCTGACTTCTGAAGAGGTGTCCCGCACAGGCTACATGCCCAATGCAATGTTCCCCTCTGATCACCTGTGCCTCATAGCCAGGTTCCTGTTGAGATAACCGCGGCTGTTTTTTGTTTTTGGAGAATTTTAGTGAAAAAAATGATGAGGAACAGAATGAAGCTGAGACTGTGAAGACAAATAACTCGGGGAGAAAGCCCTTGTTGTGTCTGCTTGTTACGTTCATCAAGCTATCGTGCTTGTTTTTGCGTCATTGTGAGAGAACTGTCTGTTGTCTGTTTCGATTATAATGTCTTCTGATGGATGGAAACCCACGTCCTTCCTTTTCCTTTTTTTGTTTATCTTACTTTTTCCCAAACCTGAATGACCATTATTGTGACGATGAGCGCTTCTCTTTACTCAAAAAGACCCAAATAATTACTGTTTGTTTTCTTCTCATTTCCTATCAATGTCTGCCCCTCCATACCATTTCCAGCAGCTATAGCGGATTTGTCAAAAATGTGTTGCTTAATGGTTTGACGTTCCTACCATAGAGTCATTCAACATAAAAATGCTGACAAGAATCCTCTCTCTCTTGCCCTTTTTAACTCCCAGTGGAGCACAGGCCGTCAACAACCTTACTCCAGCGATGCCTGTCCTGAGCATCATTTTCCTGTCCTGAGCATTATTTTCTAGCTGTTTCCATGATGTCCCCATTTTTTCAATTTCTGTTTGTACCGCTTGCCTCCATGTCATCTTTGGTCTTCCCTTCTCACGTTTTCCTTTGTGGGTTCCACGTTAAAGCCTGCCTGATGATGCTTGTCGGGGGTCTCCTCAGGGTGTGTCCAATCCATTTCCATGACAAGAATTCCTTTTCAGTAAACTCCTATGTTTATTTACCCTTTCAGTTTTACTTTTGCTTCTTCAACTCCTTGCTTCATGCACTCACCATGTTACCGGTATGTTACTCAAGACCTGAGTTAGCTTTGACAAATGTTTTATGCAGCGCCTGACTTAATTTTGTGATCTATAATTTGAGTAATCTGACGGGGTCTTCCACTATGGCATTGTTGCGGGGACTCTTGGAGCCAAACCCAATAAAGTTTATTTTTTCTGAAAACTTGGAAGATAACATTTGAAAATTGTATTCTACAAGAAAAATATAGATGACCTATGCTTTGGTCGTAGCCTGTTTCCATCAGATTTCTTTTTTTAAAAGCAACTTTTTATAAAAATATTAATATTAATAACTTTTGTGAAGCCTAGCACCCAAACCTAATAAATTCATTGTCAATGTTTGCCAAAGCAAGCTCAATATCAGATTCAGGTATGTCCTCATCTGATTTTCATTAGCCCCGAAAAATCTTTTTGTAACCTCATTAGTTTTCATGGTGGATTTCCAGGATTTGTTTTTCCCCCTTCCCTTCTGTTAAGAAAAAGCCAAGTAAACTTGAAATTCAAGAAATTCAGCTCTCCATCATCAGTAATATCAGTTTGGAAAGGAATGAATGTTAACTTTCTCCAGCTATTCATTCATTTTTACCCGACTCTCATTTTAGCTGCAAAACTATGCACTTTGTAATAACACACATGTTCGTTTAGAACAAAGAAGAGTTGCCCTGGCCATATTGTTAAAATATTATGTTTGCCTGTCTGTAGTGTTAACAAATAAGTTTTACATTCCTCAGGACTATTGTTTGTTTTTATAATGAAAATAAATGTCAGGGTAGTGTTTAGCATGAGTTTTTTTTAAACATCTGAAGCTGGAACAGGGGGGGAGGCTACAGTGATCTAGTTTGGGTAACTGCACATCATGATGTACGTCAGTTGCATTTAATGTCTTTTGTTTAGACAAAGTGATTAAGTCACAGAGCTCTTCATAAACTAGTGTGGCTGCCCTGATGAATTTATGAACTCTTAGTTTTTGTAAGGTTTTTCTGACATCGTAGTTTTCTGCATGGAAAATTTCAAAATTCTGCGCAGAATTTTACCCCCAAAATGCAGTTGCAAGTGCCGTAAAACCTCTACTAAAACTAAAACTAACTGATATTAGTGCTGCAGAAAAATAGATTAAGCAGACAACACCGCTGTCCCCACCAACCCATATTTTGGATTTTGAGGCTCTTGCTCTTGTAGATGTAGACAGGCTTCCATAAAGTTATGAAGACCTCCTGTGGCTATTTTGCATTGTTCCATAGGTGAACGGCTGCTGGATTAACTAGGGTTGGGTTGAGGTATGTAAGCCCGACGCTAGACTCAGGGTAAAGCTAAATTCAGGATTGTTCATCTTCTGTGTACCCCTGATAGAGCTCAGGAGGTAACTGACTGTAAGCTTTTTATGTCACGGTTCAGTTGATTCTTACATTCATGGCTGTTTTATCTACATAGAATGTAGAGCCATTCCTTGCCTGATGTGCCATTTTTGAAGGGGGCTCTCGTGGTCTAGAGGTTACTGTGTTCGCCTCTCATTCAATAAGTCCTGGGATTGAATCCAGATAGCAGTGGGAACATTTTCTTCGTAAATGTTCTTCTTTCACTCCTTTCCTACTCTCAAACAATGTCCTGTTGTCTGCTTTCATCTCCACTTTCTGCCCCCACCCCCACACCTCCTTTGCCCCCCTCCTCTGGGCTCCTGACTCTTTCTGCAGCCTTTCTACTGCTACTCCTTTGCTCCTTCTTACTGCTGTCTTTCAGCCGCACCATTGATCTTATGGTAGGTAAGATCTTACACCTAGCCCTCTCGGATAAGGGCTAAAAATCTCGGAGGTCCCCGTGAGAAAGTTGGGCGCATTAAAATTAAAGATTCCTTGGTGGTCCAAAATTGATAGGAGTAGACTTCAGTGGCCACTTAGGCAAAATTCAAAATTTCCTACAGACTGAAAATGTTTAACCTTATCCGACGTCGTGTTTTACTATTGTATCTATACAATGTGGGGAACTCTGTGCCACCACTTTCCAAAGAGGAAATTTACTTGTTAATCTGATCTGTACACTTTGCATAGCAGTGTGTCGAAATGATTTTTTGAGAAATGCTGAAAGTTTCAAAGAGATCTTCGTACTAGAAGTATTGTAAAATGTGAAGAATACAACCCCGGGGGTACAATATGACCCCAGGGCATACGGATAGGGTTAATGTGTCCCACATGCTCATATAACCTTATGCGGTTGCGAGCGCCGTAGAATACTCTCACCCCCAAAAAGAAGATAGTCTTAACATTTATACATGTATACCGACGAGAGTGGCCTCAGTTTTGGGTAGGAATTATTTTGGAAATTAGTCTGAATGGCAGCCCAAAGGGTCCACTTTTTTCAATTTTTGAACCATCTCATCAAGGGATATTAAATGTGCAAAACATCCACCATGGGCCCTCCCAGATTTTTTTGGTCTGTTTTGGAGAAGAATAGGTGCTCGATCCTACCTATGCTGAGCTATAAGATCAAGGGGTGGACAAAATATGAGACACCCCCCAATGGTGATGGGGATCAAACTTTGCACCTCTCGGCTGACGGACAAACATCATAATCATATCTGTTGAGATACTGAGCCAACAACTTTAGGAGGGTTCAGGAGCACAAGGTGGAAAACCTTTTCTGCTTGTTTTTGATGGGTCATGGACTTGTATGATTATAAAATGGGTCCTTATAAATTAGAAGAGCATGAAAGATGGAAAGTTGATTTTGTCAATACTGTGTTTGAACAAGTATAAAAACCATAGTTCAGACCCTCATGGCATTTCTTGTTGCATGTAGTTCAAGTTGTTGCTAAGGGGGGGTCTACTTTTTATTTTTCTGATAAGATTTTAAAGAAGGTGGAGGACACTTTTAGAAGTTTGCAGTTTTTCCCATCCTTTATCATTTATTGTGTTCACCCTTCTGCTTTTTTCCTCAGATGTTATTCATGACTGGCATTGGGCGGGTCAGTGTTGTTCTTTTTCAACTCGACTTAAAAAATTGTGATTTTGATAGCGATTCCTACAATCACTGGTGATGTTATGGGGTTAGGCTCATGGCTTGCACACGAAATACATGAGTTTGATTAATCATATCATCATACGTTGGGTAGAACTTTCATCCTGTAGACCTTATTTGTGTTTCCGGTGGGATGTAGTGTTTCACATGATCCTGATTGGCCCTGGCAGCAGGCTAGAAGCAGCATAGGCCTACCTCCTGAAATGTCTAAGTTGTGTCGATGGGGTGTGAAAACTTTGACTATCATTTTGCTTATTTCTGTGGAACCTGAATGTTTTAATTCAGGTGCTGTTTTATGTTTTTTGTTGTTTTTGCTGGCAGCTAAAACAGCTATTGTGTAATAATTAAATTGAAATATATGATAATGCTGTTTGGTAATGTATAGTTTGCTTTTGTTTTGTTGATCGTGCCTTTTATCTGTAAATTATCTGGGATTTGAGCCAATAAGGTTCTTTGTCACCAATTGCATATATAGATCTATATATTTATTTTGATTAAAATTGTCTGGGTGTCTGAACTAGACTGGAGATGTCAAACTTGTCTTACTCCATCAGGAGGAGCAGCCCCTTTAATGGTGGAATAAACATGTACTATTTATACCCAAGATATATTTTTTCTTTGATGTGTCACTTATGGCTAACCTCCCCCAGTTTTATCCCCTTTATTAACTCTCTAAACCATGGGCTAAGTGCTCCTCTTGAACTCTCTTAGCACCATAAATAGGTCAGCACAGCAGAACCAAAATGGCAGCCAGCTGATGGCTTCCCAGAACCGAATTATTTCAGTGTTTTTTCCAGAGGTTCAGGGGGTGTAGCAAAGAAATTGTTTTTGCTTTTGATCTAAGTAACGTATTTCAATGAAATTTCACATACAAAGACCTAAGTCGTCAGCATCTAAATTTATAGTGGAATGTTCTCATTTCTAAGCCTGCACTTTGCACTAAAGGCAGGTGTGTCAGGCCGGTAAAACCTGGTATGGCACATAAGCGTTAAAGCTGGTAAAAGTAAGTATAGCAACATAACGGAAAGGCCGGTTTAGGCCAATATGGCTCAAAAAGAGTTAAAAAAGGACATGCTTGTGTCTAATACTACCATTCTTCTCCCATGACGACAAATGCTTGCCAGTCCTCCCCTGTCTAATGGACTATAATGTCTTGAACATCAAGGCTTGAATCTGTGTTCTTTCTTTAAACCTGAGCATGAGAAATCTTCAGATAACTGTATATACCCCTTTCTTTTCAACCAAGGTCCTTCTTCATTGATATTAAATATGTGTAGAATTACTGTTGACCAGTTGGTCGGAGGACAAACACATTTTTTAAAGGTCAAAGTTGTAAATTCTTTCCGATTTTTGGTTAATGAGGGTGCATTGACCAGTTGGATTCTCTGACTTGACCAGATCATGCAGACTCAACTTCTGACATAAGTTTTTACCCAGCTTATTTGTTGAGCCATGGGAGTGGCAAGTAGGCCAGGTCATCTGTCTCATAATTCAAGGCCTTTTTGTCTCATAATTCAAGGCCTTTTTGTCTCATAATTCAAGGCCTTTTTCTTTCACTTTTAGCTCTTTAGGAAGGTAGCAGACATGTGTCCATCAGCAGTAGACCAAAGGCAATGTTGTGGCACTTTTCAAACCATCATACACAATCACAAAAATGAAATAGTATATGTTTCCTTGTATATATGTGTTGTCATCTGCCTTTTTAAAGTTTCAGAGGGGGCTCTCGTGGCCTAGAGGTTAAGGTGTTGGCCTCTCATTCAAAGGTCCCGGGTTCGAATCCGGGAAGCGACCAAAAAATTTTCTTCTCTAAAATTGTCTCCTTTCACCTCCTTTCCTGCTCTCTAGCAATGTTCTGTTGTCTGCTTTCATTTCCACTTTCTGCCCCCACCCCCTCACCTCCTTTGCCCCCTCCTCTGGGCTCCTGACTCTTTCTGCAGCCTTTCTACTGTTACTCTTTGGCTCCTTCTTACTGCTGTCTTTCTGCCACACCCTTGATCTTCTGGTAGGAAAGATCTACACCTAGCCTTCTCGGACAAGGGCGAAAAATCTCGGAGGGCCCGTGTGCAAGTTGCGCACGTTAAAGATTCCGTGGTGGTCTAAAATCGATAAGAGTAGGCTTCGGCCGCCACCCGGGCAAAATTCAAAATTTCCTACCAACTGAAAATATTAGGTGTGTCCAGCGCGCTCATATGACCTTATGCAGTTGCGAGCGACGTAAAACACTTTACACAAAAAAAAAAAAAAAAAAAGTTTGAGATAAAGAAAACAATAGAAAAAATCTTTCTGGATAATGAAGTTATGCTTCTTCTTAAAGTACTGTATCCGAAAACCACGCCTTTTCAAGTGTGGTCGAAAGACTAGAAGAATGAATGTCCTTTGTTTATTTTTATTTGTATTTTTGGAACAAAGCTGCAAAATACTTTTGTGAAGTATATATTACATCACTGTATGTCATGGATCATTTTATTGAAGAAACAAGTTGTCTTTGTAGGAAAATGTTTATTTTTTCCTTAATTAAAAGTAAAACTGTACAGTTTGTTTTTTGCTTTCTGTAAGTTAGCAGTATCAGATCAAAATAGTTTGATTTTCAAACTCTTTCCATCACAGATATGCTTTTATGTAAATTAATTATTTATATATATATATACACACAGACAGGATGGTGGATATTTATATCAATGAGTAATGTACAGATTCACCTTGGATGCATTATTCAAATGAACAATTTTCTCAATATAAAAATACTCCAGCCTTTACTTAATTGTTACAGAAGGTGAGCTGTTCTTTCCCCAAGTCTGTACATCTCGTTTGTCACTGTGAGTTGTATAAAAGCTTGGGTTCATCTTCTGCTGCTGTGTTTGAGGCACAAGCAGACAAGATGCAAACATTTTTTTCGACACACTGAAGCAGCTCTCATGCCAAGCAATCAAATGCGTATCTGATAGTCCACGTCCGAGCTGCCCACGCTAGATCTCTGACGCACTGCCATGGGGCTTTGTGGAGCCAGGGTTTGCCTGGGGACAAAATGAACAAATAGATTTAAATCCATCATATAATATGTCAATCCTAGCTGTTGCACACATTATAAGTACTCTTATGTTTTAATAAGTGTTGTACGGCACTTGCAACACAATAAGGTCATATAAGTGCCGAAGATTAGAGAGGTGTTGCAAGAGAGTAACAAACACAAAAAAGAGGGAGGGGAGATAGAGACAATAGATGTTTGACAGGAAAAAAGAATCAAACCACACCAGAACACCCGCCAAACACCCACACAAATAGATTTAAATCTGTCCCATAAGTCAATCCTAGTTGTTGCACACATTATAAGTACATGTACTCTTATGATGTTTTAGTAAATGTTTTACAGCACTTGCAACACAATAAGGTCATATAAGTGCCGAAGATTAGAGGTGTTACAAGAGAGTAACAAACACAAAAAACGAAGAAGAGATAAGGACGATAGATGTTTGATAGGAAAGACAGAAGATGCAAACCACACCAGAGCATCCGCCAACCACCCACATTAGTACTCTGCATGTATCCGACAGCTTTGAAAATTAACGAAAAAGTGTTTTCCTCTGTGTTTGTGCTACAGAGAAGCATATTGTATCCTATAGTCATTTAGTGCTGCGAGAACACAAGAGAATAGACTAAATGATTGATAGTAAAGAAGCCCACAAAATGTTTTTAAAAAAATTTAACTGTCAAAAGCAATGAAAGTGAGGATCATTCAACAATTTTCAGGAACTCTGTAAATCTCCTCAATACTCACATCCCACGTAAAGTCAAACTGTGCAATAATGAGATTTGGCAGTTAAAGCAGAATGTCTTGTTGTAGCCATGTGTCACTACAGCAGAAAGCCAAGGGGTGTAAAAACAAAATGCTTATTGGAGGAAAGAATTAGAAGGTCGTGAACAGCAGATCCCTGCAAGAGAGCTTATCTTATTTTTTGATCAACTGCCTCAATAATGATGGTCACTTTGGTCTTAAGAGTTGTACGTGCTTTCTTGTGTTGTCATTTTGAAATCTGGATGAGAACGATGACTTGAAGTCAGATAAGATACATCTTTATTGTCCAGATCCTGGCACATTGGTTTGGTGTTTCACCACACACACAAACACACTCACATGCACACGCACACACACAAACATGCATACTCATGCAGGCTTACAGTCACATGCATAATATAAATGAACAGCGATGTAAGCAATAGAATCTAATTATCTTAAGCTAGATATATACTCGATTTTATTCTGGTGCGTGCTTTAAAGTCATATGAATACTTAGAACACACCCGGTCACAACTGAGTAGCACCCAAAAATCCCAGGAGATTATAGTAAAACCTGTTTTCCGGTCAGCAGCCGAAGGCAAGATGTACGGTACATGTTTGGTTCTGATATATACTACATGTAGCCTTAATCAGCAACTTTCTGGCATAACAGAACAATTTGTATATTTTTAGATAGCATTGAAAGAGGAGAAGGATCTATGAGTTAAGAAAAAAACAAGTTCTAAAACTTTTTTTCTTTTTTCTTTCCTCATCCTTCCTCATCCCTACTTCTTTTGTATGTTTGTCACTCTCTTGTGAACTGCTATTTCTGGGGTGCCTTCATAGTCGAAGCAGACTTTGTGCTGTAGGGGGGATTGAGAGGTGAGGAGAGAAAGCCTGATTCCCTGTTTGAACTTCACTGTTGACATCCACCCCTTGGCACCCATATATGACTTTATGCAGTTGCGAGCGCCGTAAAATCCTTACGAAAACTAAAAACTAAGAAAGAAGATATTTTAAAAGACTCACGACCGCCTCAGCCGGGTAGGACTTGCACGACCCTCCATGGTAGGCTGCAGGTCTCGCGTGGCTTCGGCCGTGTTCAGCATCTTCAAAGCAGCATACGGACCAGAAGTCCAAGACTTTGACTGCATCCAGGAAGGACAAAAACATATATTTATATATGTATGAGAATAGCACGAGCAGTACCGGTAGTGTGAAACAAACTATTACAGGAGTGGAGTCCGCTGAAGAAACAGCACGGCGGTAAACCGAAAGAAAATATAGTCACGATATGATTCTTCACTATCTGAGCACTCTGTCTAAACTGAAAACATGGCTAAACTGAAGAAAATCCGGCTGTCCCCCAGATTTATTCCTGTTTAACTACCTGTATAAAACGAAAACCTGTCCAACGCGGAAACGGAAAGAAAAATCCGCTCCTTTCCGATGGTTTCACCTGTCTAAGACGGAAAATGCTTTGCCCCCTCGGCCCTGATTTGAAACAAAACTTGCAAGTTTGGTTTCGCCGGCTCTAAACTTAACGCCTTGGCCATACCGCAAGGCGAGGAAGGGAAGTAGGGGTGCTATTGCTATTTGGGGGTAGATGTTACCCCATCATGCGAGCCCTGAGCGATGCAGATGGTCAGTGTAGTGTGGGTGTGAAATCTCATGACTGCCCGTGAGAGTGCTCGAGTAGCGAGCCACTATGGAAACTTTCCTGGGTACCCAGAAGCCAGAGGTGTGAAATTAGTTTGACCAATGCCTGCCGCCCTGATTTTACGCCAGCCGAGAAAAGAGTTCCTTGAACCGTAGTTACACGATTGCAGTGAGGGATGGCATTGGTTGACTGTGCTTGTTACACCGATGGGTGGGGCTAAGGGTGGAAGCAAAGGGGATGTTCAAACGTTTCTGTTTTTCATAGGTCAAACAGTGGTCCTATGAAAGGCAAGCACTGGTGGTAATTGGATAAGTATGACTGACGCATGTCATTATCAGACAGGATAGCAGCCGAGAGGTGTGAAGTTTTGACCACTGCTTGCCGATGGGACTAGCGATCCTTGATCCCACCGGCTGGGCCTTTGACCCCCCCCCCCCTTCCATCTCCCCCTAAATTCCCCTGTCTAAGACGAAATTTTTTTCTGGCTCCCTTGCGATTCCGTCTTACACAGGTTCGACTGTATTGATCAAAACAGGGTATAGACATTATGGGGAAAATAGTAGGCCCCTACCCACTGGAAAGGATTTTTATTGAGCAGGACAAGATGTTAAATCATAAAATGATTATAATAGGGTTCTTATGAAAACAAATTCATGAATAAGTAATGACCTTATTTCAAACAACACAAAAATAATGGCATTGCTAGATTTGACCATTTAGAATGTATAATCACTACCCTGAATAGAATTGAATAAAAACGACAGTGAGCAATGTGTTTGTTAACTTTGAAAGTTGTTTGAGGATGCGGATGACTGACCATATTTGGTAAGTCAGTACATTATCAGCTCATACGACTTCTTTTTTTACACTATAGCCTTTAACTGGCTTTGCACGACCCATGAAAGTTTGAATGTTTATGCTGCTCGACAGCAAAATCCAGGCAGCTCATGTAGACGCCATTGTAGGCCTACAATAGTAGAGATTGGATTTTGTCCATTCGCTTACAGACAGAGGTATTGTCACATCTTCACAAATGCTTCTGTCTCAACGCGTAGTTTTAACCAAAAAAAATGGCAAGAAGAAATGACTCACCAGACTTTTCATTCTTCTCGCATGCGAGTCCAAGTCCCGAGTGAGTTCTTTCCTGTCGGACTTTGAGAAACTTACCATCAGAGCCTGAGGAGTCCACAGAGGTATCATTAGTATCAAGAAAATTAAGAGCAACAAATCGCAATTTTGATGCAAAGGTGGGCCCCCAACATTTTAGGAACAAATAATCAAGAGGGCTGACAATGACAAGTATGGTTATTTATTGGAAGCTGGTTTAGCTGTTGAATAATCCTGTCATTTAAGGGTAACTTCAGAAGGAAAGTCTGATTCGCTTCCAACTGCAGTAACCCCTTTGTGACTTTTACTGCACCCAATTTTCTGGTAAAATTCTGTTCAGGGCTATTGTAGTGAAGATGAAATCTCGTATGGTGTAAGCAGTAAGGTCCACACAATTGCCGTGATTGGCTGATTTTAGGACGTACATTGTACGGGAGGATGGCATCTTGGCACACAATGTGGGATATACGGTGTACAGGAGCTGTCATGAAGGGTTTCTGCAGTTTCTGAAAGTTCTGAAATCTCTTTTGATATGTGATCTGGCTCTAACCGCCACCTGTATAAGACAATCACTTGTACAAATGGTCACTTCCCATTGTATTTAATTTTTTCAAATATTATTATGATACTGTTTAAGATATTCACCTGACTAAGACAATTGCTTTTCTTCTTGACAAAGGATGACTGTCTTCAAAGGACCCATTCTATTAACTTTTTAAAGTTGAAAAGCTGGATCCAATGATTCTTATAATGTAACGTAACTCAAAACAAAGAAAAGTCATCAAATACACCTACCTTCCAGTTGATCACCTCATATGAGTGCTGGTCATGAATCACAGGCAGGCCGACCTTGACCTTCTTCACAGAATGCCAATCTGGACACAAAAGACAAAAATAACAAGAATGAGCTGACTGCTGTATATGAGTTAGTTTAGTTTAGTTTTAGTAGAGGTTTTACGGCGCTCACAACTGCATACGGTCATATGAGCACTAGAAGATTAGAGGTGTTACAAGAGAGTAACAAACATAAAAAAGAAGAAGGGGAGATAAGGACGATAGATGTTTCATAGGAAAGAAGAAGCAAACTACACCAGAGTACCCCCCAACCACCCACTGTATATGAGTTGACTTTGAGAAAGATTGAGATTGGAAATCAATTTGACGTCTAAATTGTCCTTGTTCTTCCTAGAATATTTAATTTCTTCTCAGTGCGACTACTGATCACGGGACAAAATGTTTCCCCTTCACAACAATCAACTCTGTATCTAATAGGGTGCTCAACTTTGGGAACAAAATCAACTACAGTTGGGCACAGATGACACGAACATGGGCAACTCCAAACCATGGATAGCTTGTTCACTTTACCATTACCTGACTGATGTCTTTAATTTTTCATTATCTGTTAACCTGAATTATAAATGTTTTGAAAACATTAATTGTCAATCGCTGACATGAAGAGGTATGCACATGTGCCATGTAACTCAAGAAATACAAAAATGGCGATGTGTAGAGGTGGGGCAAAAGTCAATGAGCTGCAACATTGATAACAAGCAACAGCAACAAAAATAATACGACAACAACAACTCCATTTCTGTATCATGGTTAAAGAGCTAAGAGGAGAAGTTCCAGCAACCGTGATAGAATGAAAAGTGACACGGAGCCAGAAAGGTACACTGATTTGTAACTCACATTTCATGTAGCATCTTTCAAAGTCAAAGACCAACTCCGCCAGACTCTGTGAGACAAAGAAATGAGCTCCACGTCAGAACCGATTCTCCTGTGCTCCAGTATACACAAAACTTAAAAGCTTTATACACTAAAATAAAAAGGTAGGGGCAACCAGTGTGGCTTTTAACGCAATATTGTTTTTGCCTTATCAAGACTTCTTTTTCCCTCCAACAAACACTACGAAAACATACCCTCCTCATTAAATGACAATGAACTTTGTGATGTTTTAAAAGCGCAAATTCAGAAGCACCTCCAGACAACAGCCTGCATAGCCATAACCATTTGTTCACTCTCCACCTCCCCATGTCACGCTCAAAGGTCTTTGAGACATGCCAACATAACTTTGAAAAAAAGCAGTTCCCATTTCTTTACCTTGAACTCCATGGGTTTGTACATAAGGTCCTCCCTTCGACTCATGCCGATCGCACCATAGTATCCACCATGTGAGATGCCAAGCACGACATGACGATGAATGTGGCCCTTGAAGACAGTCTTGAAGCTCAAGGCAAATCGCTCAACTCCCAGCATGCCATTGGTGAGAAAGCTAATGCACATTTAGGAAAACATTGAAATATCAAATGAACCCTATTCACCCTTACAGTAGTCCCAGTTGTGAATACGACTGTCCTCGTTGTTTTATGCTAGAAAAATTCTGAAATTACGCAAACTGAGCCCAAAAATGTGAAATTATGCGATTCTGTGAATTTTTAACAAAGAAAGATAAAGGAAAATAATCAGAAATTATGCAAAAAATGATCAAATTTTGCTAAATTATGCGGGGTGCATAAAACCACGAGGGCAGATACGAGTCAAGTTCTCGTTTCCCAAGGCCCAGTCACATGTAACGTACATATTTCCCTCACGGGGCACCAGACACCCCAGACCCAGTCCAGTAATTTTACCACAACTCATGTAATTGAAGAAGCAAAACACACCAGAGCAACAACCAACTCCCCACCAAGACAGAAAAGGAGCCCAATCGGTTATAGCAGGGACAAAGGCTCGTAAAAAGAGAGAGAGAGAGAGAGAGAGAGAGAGAGAGAGAGAGAGAGAGAGAGAGAGAGAGAGAATATTTGAATGAATATAGATTCGAATTCTGAATTCGAAGTTAGGTGACCACGACAACTAATTGCGTTGGTCAATAATTGTGATTTCTGGGTATAACTGGTAGATCTTTCTTCTTATATTTTTCTTGTTTGTTTTTTTTTGGGGGGGGCGGTTTTGAGGGTGGTAGTGTGTGGTTGGCGGGTGCTCTGGTGTCGTTTGCTCCTTCTTTCCTATCAAACATCTATCGTCCTTATCTCCCCTTCTTCTTTTTCATGTTTGTTACTCTCTTGTAACACCTCTAATCTTCTTGCTCTCGTATGACCTTATGCAGTTGCGAGCGCCGTAAAAACCTTTACTAAAACTAAAACTGAGGGTGGTAGGTCCTACTTCTTTCCTGTCCCTCTGCTTTTTCCTACTTTCCATTTAGTGGCGTCAGTGGTCTAGTGGTTAGTTACCGGACCACAAATCGTGAGATTGCGGGTTCGGGGGTTCGAGCCTCCACACGGTCCGACGTCGTGTCCTTGGGAA